TTCTGGTTTAAGTGTTCAGGTTCTGGTTTAAGGGTTCAGGTGCTGATTTAAGGGTTCAGGTTCTGGTTTAACGGTTCAGGTCCTGGTTTAAGGGTTCAGGTCCTGATTTAAGGGTTCAGGTCCTGGTTTAAGGGTTCAGGTCCTGGTTTAAGGGTTCAGGTCCTGGTTTAAAACCCTCTGGAATTGCTCAGCACACACAAAATGCTCAACTCCTAAAGGCAGGAGTGCTCCAAAGTGGTCAGGTTTTATTTTTGTGCAGCCCTGCTCTTCCAGGAAGGGTTAATTCCCTTGGTAAACGTTACATAAACACCCAAACCCACGCAGAAGCTGCACCTGTGGCCTGGGTGAGCTCAGCTCAGCTCCTTCCTCTTCCCCCACAGGAGGGCTGTGGCCCAGAGGTGCCCTTCTCCTCCCATGYTCAACCTGATTTCCATCGGGGGACAGCACCAAGGTAATGTCCCCTGCAGCTCTCACACCTCCTGGGCACTGTTTGGGTCTCTTTCCYAAACTCTGATCATTTTCTGGTGAATTAAATTATCCCTTTGTTCTTGGATCTGGTGATGTGTTTGGCCCAATTAGTGTTTACTGATTTAATTATCTTGATCTTGCTCAACTGGTAGTGAAAAGGAACTTTTGTAAACAGATAATTTCACTGTCTGTAGGATTCATACCTTGGGAAGCATTTGGGATTAGTTATTTTGGGAAAAATATCTCCAGATCAAAACCTTTGTGAAACTGAAACTTTTGGATCACGAGGGTATTTTACAATCAGCATCAGGAAGGGGAAATACCCCAAGGAAAGGGAGKTATGAAATGAAATTTAAGAGTGGCTGGCAATGAATTTCAAAAACTYTCCCCTGAGAAGTTCCACTGAGTGAATTTCTGTGTGGTGGAGTGGGAAGATTTTGTAGGGAATTGCCCTCCCATTCTCTGTGCCAGCTCCAGAAGAGCTAAAGGCAGCCTGAGTGCCTGTTTATTCCTGCTGCTGCTGCTCTGTGGAGGTTTTTCTGGGGCAGCAGGAAGGGTGGAAGGTTCCAGAGTGTCTCTGTGCCCCAGGGGTGTACGGCTTCCCCCGCTGTCCCGGAGAGAGCTCCCACATCTGCGACTGGATCCGAAAAACCCTCGATCTGGGAGCCTACACCAAATCTGTCCAGGAGCAGTGAGTAAAACCCTTCTTTCTGGGCCAGGGGAGCAGCTCTGGGATCCAAACTGACCCGTGGTTTCTCCCCTGTCCAGTTTGGTCCAAGCAGAATATTGGCACGACCCTCTGAAGGAGGAGGATTACAGGAAAAACAGCATTTTTTTGGCTGACATCAATCAGGAGAGGGTAAGGACAGTGAAGAACAGTGAGCAGGAACTGGTGAAAATGAAGAGCAGGATGGAGCAGGACATTTTCCTGATCTGTCTCTGGCCTTTCCAATGACTTGGATCTGTTCTCTTCCTTCCTTCCTTCCATCCAGGGCATCAACGAGACCTACAAGAAAAACCTGATGGCTCTGAAAAAGTTTGTGATGGTGAAATTCCTCAATGACACCATGGTGGACCCTCCAATCTCTGAGGTGAGGGAGGCAGGACAGGTTTTGGGGCTTCCTTGTTTATGATTTGGTGGCAGAACTGGAGGTTGCTGAGGGGCACAGAAATTGCTGGAAGTTTGCTTGGTTTGGAGAACCTTTCAGCAGCTTGTTTTTTATCCTGGCAGTGGTTTGGGTTTTACAAAAGTGGCCAAGCCAAGGAGACCATTCCTCTGCAGGAGACCTTGCTGTACAAAGAGGTGAGTTCTGGGKGTTCTGCTGTGTCCACTCTTCAATGTTCTGGGGTCCCACAGCCCTGCTCTTGTCATTCCTGGGGCATTGAGAAGGGATTTCCTTCCAGCCCTTCCTGAAATGCAGGGAATGGCAGGAGCAGAGCTGGAATGTCCCCCTTTRTCTCTGCAGGATCGCCTGGGGCTGCAGGAGATGGACAAAGCAGGGAAATTGGTGTTCCTGGGGGTGAAAGGGGACCACCTGCACTTCTCAGAAGAGTGGTTTGACAGCACCATCCTCCCCTTCCTCCAGTGAAGCTCCTGAGAGCACTGGGAAGGCTTTTCCACTGAAACTAAAACCAGCACTGTGTGACAGCATCCAACCCTGCAGGGATTTGGGGAAGGGGAGCAAGAGGGGGTTTGGCTCAGCAGGATTTAATTCCACGCCTATCTGGGCTTAGCACTGGCTCTAACACACTCCAGCCTCCTCTCAGCTCTCAGAGGTTTGTTCTCCATCCCCTGCTCCTTGCAGGACACACTGCAGTATTAACCCAACTCACTAGGGCAGGGATCAGCAACACTTTAAATTATGTTAGAACCTATCCTTCAAAATGGGGGAAAAGGCCAAATTTAGGGGTTTCTGGGGAAAAAAAAAAAAGAGGGTTTGGAATTCAGTATTAACAGCTTTTAACTAACAGCTTGGTTTATGTTCTTTTGTACAACTCAAATCAATAAAGAACTTTCCATCTAACCAACTTAAAAAAAAAGATTGGACAACTACTGATTTGTGAGGTGTTGAGTCTGGGAAATTATTCAAAGGAATCGAGGCAGGGGCAGGCAGAGAGGGGCATCTTTTCCTGCCTGATCTTCTGATCTTCCCCCAAAAAAGAGAAAAGAGCCACAGTAATGAGCAAGTTGGCATTAACTTTATTCTATCTTCTGTATAATCTTAAGTACATAAGAAAGGTTGTGGTTTTTTTTTTTTCACAAGCCTCAGGAGAAGACAAGTACAAGTCACAGGACAGTTTCAAAATAAAAAAATTTTTGCATATTTATTTTTTTTTTTTCCTTTCCGTAAGTTTTGTACTAGAGAAAAAAAGAACATTGACACTTTACAGAAGAAATGCATTTTAAGATATGCTTATGCCACCCGAGGCGTTGGAAAAATGAAGGTCAAAGCACGTGCAGCTCCCTTTTATGGGTCAGTACAGTACTGTGTGATCCATCACTCTGCTCCAGGGCCCTGGAACAGAGGTTACAGAGCTTCCACTGAAATAAAGAGCCAAGCAAAAAGGGGAAAAACTGAGGATTTATTTCGTGGGGATGATTGAAGATGAGGAAGAGAGTGATGAACCCACTTGATCCAACTCTGTTGGGTATTTACAACTCTGCACTACTGACCTGGAATGGAGGAGGCCCTTCCTCAGGTTCACAAAAACCRTCCTGGAAGACTGAACCTGAGTTCAGCTGCTCCAAGAAAAGGGGTAAAGTTTTCCTTGTGAAGGTGGAATGAGAGGTGCTCAGCTCTGAGCTGCCACAGTGGGCACAGTGCCACCTCTGCCACCCTCCTGTGGCACTGCTTCATGAAAACCTCGTGTCATGGCACAATCAGGAATGCACTGAGCTACTGGGAGTGATGAAAGAGCAAGCAGGGTGGAATGTTACAGCCCAGCTCCTCAGCTTTTGGTCCCACTAAACCGTTCCCTGTGATGCCACCAGCTACTCCAGACAGCTGGAATGAGCAGCTTCCAGAACCTTCCATAGCAGCTGGGTACTGTGGACTCCGACAGACTTTTTAAAAAGGGGGACAACATTCCTGTCACGTGAACAGTTTGACTTAAAGGCAATACAAAACCAACACTCTGAAAGCCAACTGAAAGCCAGGAGTGGCTGTGAAAGTCACCAATTGGTGTGGTTAGATGGGACAAGGGGAGAGAAAAAAAAGAAAAAATAAAATAAAATACACCTTCCTGCTGATAGAGATGGGCAATCACTGACCCCAAGCCCCAGGCAGAGGAATCTCAGTGACGGCAGGCAGCTGTGTCTCTCGGGCAGAAGAGAAGCAGTTTGAGAGCAGAAAGGTACAAGAAATCTAAAGAGAATCATCTGAAAGCAGATTTTGTCCCACAGCAGGGCCAGGGGAAGGTGTGAGCCTTGGAGCTTTTGGGCTTAGCCAGCGATTTCTGTCACAGTGGTRACCAACTTCTGACCGTTCCACACTGTCTTGAACTGTTCTGGGACAGGGAATTCAGTCTGCAGGGTGAAAACAGAAATCAGTTTATGGCTGAGGTCAGTAATTACCTCCCACTGCTTCAGGCATTTCTTAGCTTTGTGTTGTTAACTCCTGTACCCTGCTGGTGCCTGTCCTGTCCCCAAGAAATCCAGGCTGAAGCAGCTCTCACAAACCAGCAATAATCTCATTTACAGACAACCTTTTTTGCTGGTTTTTAATAATCCACAACCTCCAAACTCTCAAAATTTCCCCTCCGAACCTCCCCTTTTTTAAAAATCAAATCATCATCCACAACCTCCAAACTCTAGAAATCTCCCCTCCAAACCTTTTTCTTTAAAATCCGATCATCATCCACAACCTCCAAACCTCCCTTTTTTTTTAATCAAATCATCTTCCACAACCTCCAAACTCTAGAAATTTCCCCTGAACTTTTTTTTTTAAATCAAATCATCTTCCACAACCTCCAAACTCTAGAATTCCCCTCCAAACCTCCCGTGTTTTTAAAAAATCAGATCATCCCCAACCTGCAAACTCTCCCCTCCAAACCTCCCTTTATTTAAAATCAAATAAATGACAACCTCCAAACTCTAGAAATTTCCCCTCTGAACCTTTTTTTTTTAAATCAAATCAGATCATCCACAACCTCCAAGTCTCCCTTTTTTTAAATCAAATCATCATCCACAACCTCCAAACTCTACACATTTCCCCTCCAAACCTCCCTTTTTTTTTTAAATCAAATCATCATCCACAACCTCCAAACTCTCGAAATTTCCCCTCCAAACCTCCCTTTTTTTAAAAATCAGATAATTCACAACCTCCAAACTCTAGAAATTTCCCCTCTGAACCTTTTTTTTTAAATCAAATCAGATCATCCACAACCTCCAAACCTCCCTTTTTTTAATCAAATCATCTTCCACAACCTCCAAACTCTAGAAATTTCCCCTGAACTTTTTTTTTAAATCAAATCATCATCCACAACCTCCAAACTCTCGAAATTTCCCTTCCAAACCTTTTTCTTTAAAATCAAATCATCATCCACAACCACCAAACCTCCCTTCTTTTTAATCAAATCATCATCCGCAACCTCCAAATTCTAGAAATTTCCCCTCCAAACCTCCCTTTTTTAAATCAGATCATCCACAACCTCTAGAATTTTTCCCCTCCCACATCTCCTGCAGATCTTTATCAAAGCCCCAGGAGGATTCCAGGGCAGCACTTACAAAATCCCCTCCCTCGGTGGGGATGAGCACGTTCATCTCCGAGGATTTGGCACTGACGATCTCGCAGTCGAGGGAGCTCTTGCTCAGGTACACGTGGCACCCATCTGTCTTGTTGATGGAAATTGTTGGCACTTTACCCATGACCTGGCAGGGCCAGAGCAAAATTAGCATCAACTGGACAAACACAGCTTTTTTTTTTTTTTTTTTTTTTTTTTTTTTTTTTTTTTTTCCTTCAAGGCAAAAGGTTTGAGTCCAAGCCCTCCCTGTGGCAAATGTGTGGGATTCAGTATTTCCACATTTAACAAAAACTCAAAGTTTTTGTTTGAAATTGTCCCAAATTTCTTGGTTTGGTCTCTTTAGAACAAAACTTGAGCCAACATTGGACAAAGTGATCATCCCAAATCAGCTGCCCAAACTGATTTGGAATAAAACCTAATACTGAGCTCCTGCTTTGGCTTTTTTTTTTGTTTTCTACCTTTCTACCTGAAACAGCTTAAAGAGCTCAATTTCAGCCTTTTCCCAAAAAAAGATGGTGCTTTATGGATATCCCCCTGAYCTGGAAATAAAACTGCAGTGAAAAGAGCTCACTCACCTGAACTTTCACATCCCTGCTGTTGATGATCTCTACAATGCCCACCACGTCATCAAACACCAGACCCAGCTTCTTGCAGTTATCTGCAAAGAAAAGCAGATTGGATCATGAGGATTTTGGAGAATTCAGCTTCTGCAAACACACACACACAGCAGGCAGGAGGAGATTTCAGGGGTTTTCTCCACTCACCCAAAGTGATGGAGTTGATCTTGCCTTTGATTTGGAGTGTGCTGTTTGTGCACTTGAAAACGTAGGCTACCTGCTTCAGCTCTGTGTCACTGATCACCAGGTTAGTGGCATTCTCCTGGTTTTCCTGAAAAGGCAGGGAAAACACACTTCATTTTCTGAATGCAGGGTAATAAATCCATTAAAATCTTTTTTAAAACAAACAGAAATGTCTCCASAAGAGCCCCCTTTTCCCTTCTCCAAATCTCCCATCCCTCCATGCACCAGACACTCACCACTCTCCATTTTTTGCCTTCCAATTCCAGCAGTGGAGGTGCTTTTGGGGAGGGATTAGCATTGCAGGCTGGTTTGGGAGCAGTGAAAGGTTTGGGGCCRCTTCTCAGGGGACCCCCTTGGTTCTTGAGGGCTGGGTTCTTGTGGGTTTTCATGTCATCAGAGACGTGCCTCAAACCTGTAAAAAAGGGCAAACCTGAGAGCCAGCTCCACTCCAGGGAGCTCCACARACACCAGACACTGCAATAATCACGATAAAATTTCTTCAAATGCAAAAAAAACCTCCTAAAACCGGGCCTAAGCTGAGCCTGAGTGCGAGTGACAGGAAGGGGAGGAGGAAGCAGGAAATGCTGGTGCAATATTGACAAGAACACAACGAGAACCACAGAACCAGAAGGTGCCAGCTCTTCCACCCTGCAGCTGGAGAAAGCTCTGAGCCAATCCTCACCTCTGTGCTGATAACATCAAAAAGGGAGAAGTTTTGTGCAATCAGCAGCTGCAAAATGGTATTTTTTTTTGTAATGGAGTCTTGCAGGTAAGCAAAGGGTTCAGTGTTCATTCCAGCCTGAGGTTCATGCCTACATTTGCCAGGAGAGGGTGAGAATTCTCCCCCAGYTGTGCTCCTGTTGTCCTGGGAAAGCTCTGCCCCTCGCTGCCAGCCCCAGAAGGGTTTTTATGTATTTTTTAAACAAGTGCATTGAGGGAAAGCAGGAAAACAAGGACAGGTAGCAAAACAAGCACCAGCAGCACGAGAAGGAGCAGCAGCACAGAAATTTCCTCCACGTACCCGAGGTGATCCCTTCTCCCCGGTTGATCTGAGCAAAGAGCGCCGAGCGCGAGGCTGAGTCGTCTGTGCTGGAGCTCATGGGGGCAGGAGGAGGAGGAGGAGGAGGCCCTGGAGGAGGAGGAGCAGCCCCAGCTGGAGGAGCAGGAGGTGCTTTAGCCCCTTCTGTGGCCACGGGACCCTGGAAGGGCAGGAAGGAGGAAAAGCACTCGGAATGAGCTCCGGGTGACCCCGCCAGGCTCGCCCCGCTGCAGCCAGCACTCACAGTTTTGCTCCAGGTCAGCCCCGTGGTGTGGTACTCTTTGATGTAGGCCTGCAGCTCTGTCCAGATGCTCAGATAAGCTTTCACCCAGTCCACTTGTTTTTTATCCCTGAGGACATAAGAAGACCAAAGAAGGAGGGATTAAAGGCCATGGGGGGATGCTGGAGCTGCCCCTCGGGCTGAGTTCAGCCACATTTCTGAGGTCAAAGGGGAACTCACACGTCCTTGTACTCCTTGAGGATYCGGTTGGTGTAAAACATGGCAGCATCAGTCATTTCCTTCACGTAGGGACCAGGCTTTGGAGCCTGGAGCAGAAACAAAAAACACATCAGCACCAAAGAACCTGCCAGAGAGCCAAACTCTTCCCAGCAGCCCAAGAAAAAGCCTTTTCCCCCAAGAATCCTTACCATGGCCACCCAGCCCAGGGCTGGGATGCTCTCACTGACTGCTGATARGTGATTGAACAGTTTGCTGCCACGGTTCTTCTCCCTGAAATTCTGCACYGCCTGGATCTGCTCCGAGATGGGCTTGAGCAGTGCTGAGAAGGCATTCTGTGTGACACACAGGGACAGCAACAATTAAGGAGATTAATTAATGGCCACTCAGACACAGATTCCAAGTGGCTGTTACAGCTCCTGTCTAGGCCTGGCTTTCTCTAAGCCCAGCTTGGTCCCAGCTCCTCCAGGGCTGAAGTCATTGCTCCCATCGGATTGGAGCTATGGGAGAACGCCAAGAACTGTGACTCATGTTCAATCCAGGAGACACTGACAAAGCTTGTTAGTAACGAGGACAGAAATAGCATTTGCCTTTCTTTCCTGGGTTCTTTTGTTCCAAAGCAGTTTGTTCAATTTTTCCTCTCCTCCTYGGAGAAAGGGAAAGGGGTGCTGGGYACAAATTTGGCACYGACAGCCCTGCCCCACAMCCAGAGTGACACCAAGCTCAAAGGGCACCCCCAGCACGCCAAAATTCAAGATTCCAGTTATTTCTCAAGTCATTCCTTTAGTATTTGGATGGTAAAAAATCGCTCCTGTGTGCTGTTCCCTTGGAATGCTGACTGGAAGCTCCAGAAGTGCTCTGAGGTCAGAGCACAGCAAAAAGAGCCAGTTCCACGTTCCCAGAGATGGCTCTTAGGCAACTTTTCCTTCCTTTAGCATCACAAAATCTCCTGCTGGTGGCAGCAGAGAGGGACAAATTTGGGCAAAACTTGCTTTTTCAAAGCCACAGCTTCTTCTTTTGCGGCTCTTTCCTCTGTTTAGATGAAAACTGAGAGGTCCCAAGCACCGCTGGCTTGGCCATATTTTCAGAAACTCCAGCCCAGCACTACATTCCAGCCACAGGATGGGGAAATTCTTCAGAAAAGCACTGAGAGTTCACACATTTTGCATTTTAAACTGGCTGCTCCACAATTAGACTCCTGCCAGACAACCTGCACAAAGAGCTACCCTAGATTAAGGCTGTTCTTTGTTCATAATCCTTTATTTAAATAACGTGTCCGTGGGATTTAAAAGCAGGTTCTCAGGCCAGAGGCTACACAGAGTTGAATCCCAGCAAGCCTGGTGAAATATAACAACCCTCCAAAGCTGATTTTGGGAAAAAAAAAATAAAAAGATGAATAGGAAAGGAGCACAGAACTCCAKCTCCCACAATGTAACAGTAGAAGCCGTGACTGAGGGAGAAAATAACTGCAAAGAAAAGCGAGGTGGGATCCTGTTGCTCAGGAAAAACAGCTCCCAGCAGGGAAAAGCCAATGCATTCAGGATCAGATTCTCAGCCACACATCCTGCTGAGAAGCAGCAGCCCAGGGTAAAGTGTTAAATTACTCGCTGAGGACAAATCAATCCTAAAAGCCCAGTGATTATTCAGAGATATTCTGCTCCTGGAGGAGGTGGATCTTTCAGCTCTCTGAGCATCACATTGTGAAAAACATGAGCCCACACATCCCAGGGTGGCTCCTGGCTCTGAGAGATCCTGTCTGCAGGGAACACTGATTGAGCAGAGCTGGTGCCAGGTGAAACTGGAGCCAGAGGCTGAGGTGACACCCCAGGGTGCTGTGACAGCCCTGTAACATTTGTTGCTGTAACAATTCCAGAAAATTCTGCAGATCTCAGAATCAACACTCAGTAWTCTGCCCAGGACTGGAGGAGCAGTTCAGGACATCAAAAAAGCATYCCCAGTTCCTCTTTCAGCTCAACTGTGACAGCCCAGGCTCCCCAAACCCCTCCCAGCCACTCCTGACCCCGAGGGCAGAGTTTTGTGCTCAGTGATTTCCCACACTCACCTCTGCTGGCTGCTGGTGCTGAGATGCCACCACCAGAAGGGCCCTCTCGCTCATCAAACCTGCRTGGACCATCTCAGCCTGAGGACAGAATGAAAATGAGATTTTTTTGTGCCCTGTAAATGATTCACCCCCTGCTTGAATAAGAGAGAGATTCCCTTGTGCCYCTTAAGGAATGACCATAGTGAGGATCCAGCGACACTGAGCTCAAAGCACATTCCTGGAGAAAATTATAATGATGAACTCATTTTAATTTATTTCCTTTAAATGGGTGGCATTAGGACAACTTAACAGATAATCCAGTTGGTAAATTGGCAGCAAAATGAGGGCTCACAGCAGGGACTCCCCAAATCCTGGCTCTCAGTCCCTTCTTTGACTTACAGTGAGGACCCAGCTAGGCTGAGCTCAAAGCACATTCCTGGAKAAACCCAGTCCACAGAAACCTCACCAAAGTGTCCCAGCTCAGGGCTGGGGTGGCTTCAGACCTTTTAAAAGCCTGCACAGAGGCAGACATTGAACCAGCAAGGATTTCCAGAAGGTTGGAATCGTGTTTGAATCGTGTGTGTGTGTGTGTAGGTGGCAATTTGCTGGAGCTCATCTGGGCACCAGCTTGGAACCCTCAGGGATTGCAAAGATCCTGGGACACAGGGCTGAAGGGACACAGGGCTGAAGGGATGCAGATTCTGGCAGCAAATTTGGCCCTTCCAGCTCTCAGGACAGGCAGCACCCCCAGAGCAGAGGGAAAATAAGAATCCTTACATGCTTCTGCACATCACCACCCACGTCTTTGCTGATCTTGATGTACTCAGCCACCGGCCCGGCCAGAAGGGCATCGAAAGCCTGCACGTACTGAGCCACTCCTGTGGGAAAAGAATCAGAGCCAGGGGTTACCAGGAGTCACCAGGGATCACCAGGGGTCACCAAGGATCACCAGGGGTCACCAGGGGTTACCAGGGGTCACCAGGGGTTACCAGGAGTCACCAGGGGTTACCAGGATCACCAAGGATCACCAGGGATCACCAGGGACCACCAGGGGTCACCAAGGATCACCAGGATCACCAGGGGTCACCAGGGGTTACCAGGGAGTCACCAGGGGTCACCAGGGATCACCAGGGATCACCAAGGATCACCAGGGGTCACCAGGGATCACCAGGGATCACCAGGGATCACCAGGGATCACCAGGGGTTACCAGGGATCACCAAGGATCACCAGGGGTCACCAGGAACACCCCACAGGCTGCACCTCCCACCTGCAGGAGGCTCCAAGTGCCACAGCCACAGTTTTTATCTTGGCAGAGCAGCAAGCACAGCCCCTGCACAGGAACCAACCTCACCTCACTCCCCTTCCCCTGCCCAGCTCTGCCTGCCCTGCCAGGTATTTGGGGCCTTACCTTTGGCAGAGCCATCTCCACACATGCCAGGCCCTTGGCACACGGTCTCCAGGCGCTCCACAGCCTTCTCCAGCCTCTCAACCAGCCTCTCCATGTCTGCTGCTGTCCACAACCTGCACCAAAATCACACAATTAAATCCTCCCTCAGGTGCCAGACAAGGTTTATGGGCTGTCTGCTGCAAGCTCTGCCAGTTCCAGGAGGATGAGTCCTGCCCAGCAATGCACCCTAATCATAGCTGGGTTACACAACAGCCCCTTGCTGTGGCCACACTCGCTCCTGAATAGTTTCTATTCCATTTTAAGAGCTCCTCACWTGTGTAAAGACATCAAACTTGCACATTCTAACCTCGTGGTGACACCTCTCAGTGACACAAAGCTCTGCCCGGGTTCTCACTGCAGTCAGACCCTGGCCAAAGTCCCAGCTGTGACCACACAGCTCCAGGTGAGAATTACTGGGATTAAATCTCCAAACGCATCTGGAATGACCTCCTGGAGTCCTGAATTGCCCCTGGAAGCATCTGAGAGCTCAGCATGGCCCCAGCACAGAGTCTGAGCCACCCTGGCACACACCACGGGGAGCAGCTGCACGAGCTGAGGCGGCRGAGCTGCTTCTGCAACAAGGAGCCCCTGTTCTTCCTCTGCAGCTCTGCTGTCTGCAGAACCTCCTCTGCAGCTCCTGCACAGGAAAGAGACTCAGGCACGCAAGCATTTCATCTGGAAAAGTCTTAAAAATCATATAAACTTTCCATTAAGTACTGCTTTGCAGCAAGCAATGAGAACAGGTCATGCTCTTGGTCCAGTAATGCCCAGGGAATGCAGGGAGGGAGCAGCAAAGTCACCAATGGCATTTTTATCTTATCACCACTCTTCGACAGATTTACAGCATGAATCACAGTGGCAGTCCTGGCCTCAGCTCCTTCCCTCTGCAGGAGCTCAAATCCCTGCCAGGACCAGGGGTTTCTTCCCCCAAACATTCCCTGGAATGCTGGAAAAAGRCAGGGTTTTCTCAGCTGAACTGACACTGGATCCACACGGAAAGGAAACCTCAAGTTCTCGCTGGAGTTTTGCTTTTGCACGTTTTCACCCAGTTTCCAGAGGATGTGGGGCAGATCCAGCGTTAGTCAGGAGCCCAGCACTGATGTCACAAGACAAACAAGGCCATTTTCCACCCCTGCTTGCATCAGGAGAGGCTGCTCTGCTATGGGGGCAGGGAAGAAGCCACCCCCCTTTCCAAGAGGAAGAAAGCGGTTTCCTCCTCTGTCCAAGAGCRAACCAGAGGACAGACTGTGCATAAAACTGGACTGGATGGCTTCCAAACACACCAAAAAAAAATAGTCAGAGAAGCTGAAACCCCACAGCAGTCACCCCTGTCATCAGAATAATGAACAGCTCTGCTGCTTTAATAATTCTGCACGATGGAGAAACCCCGAGCGCAGGATCCTCCGTTCCTGCCGCATCCCCGTGGGAGCACAGCCAAGAAACAGCCRGGCTTTGCCTCCCACGCTCACCAAGTGTGGGTTTTTCCCCCAAAAAGCCACCTGTTAAGGAAGCTCTGCCATGCTCAGAGAGCTCTGAAGCACAGGGATGGAAGGACATGGGTGGACAAAGCTGCTGTTCTGCACYGCTGATCCCCAGCACATTCCAGGCTCGGCTTTAATCTGATCAGCCCCATTACCCAGTCGGCAAACTGCAGCTCAAACYGGGATTAGCCAGCAGAAAGTCCAGATGGAAGGCTGTTTCCTACCCCCAGCAGTCAAACATCTCTGGATGGGATTAATGTCCTAAAATCACCTCGTTGCTCGGGACTGGCGTTCCTTCCACTCTCCCTGCCCTTTGACAAGTCCTTCCTTGTTTTCCCTGAGCCATAAACTCCCAGTGCAAACCTGGTGCTGTCTGGGCAGATGGTGAACTCATTTTAATTTCCTTTTAATGGGTGGCATTAGGGCAACTCACAAGATAAGTCAGTTGGTAAATTGGCAGCAAAATGAGAGCTAAGTGCAGGCAACCCGAAGTCCTGGATCTCAGTCCCTCCCTTGCCTCACCCCTCCCTGTGCTCTTTGCCCTGTGGATGCAGCTATTTCTGCTGCCTGGATACCCAGATGGAACGAAATAAAAAGATTGAGCATGTAACTAAATCAGTTTGCCACGCAGAGATTAACATTTAGCAAGGAAAATAAAAACAACCACACAGYGGAYCTGCYTGGACTGCATCTAAACAGYRTTTTGTGTGTTTTGGGGCCTCTTTGAACGCAAAATAATTGGACAGAAAGTGCCAAATTGACTTCACAGCTCTCAGTGCAAACAATCAGATCTCATTTCCCTTCTCTACAGAGGAAGATGAGGCACACAGATCATCCAGGAGTAATTTT